ACCGCCCCCCCCCCCCCCCATCGCGGCCGACCGCGGCGGCCGACCGCCGCCCATCCATACCTACCGATTTCTACCGCCACTGCTCCTAACCGAACCAGCACGCCCCCGCCTCGGCCGCCACTACCGATCGCCGCGCCACGAAACATCCTTTTTTAGAAAACGGTTCCAAAAAATCGTAGATATTTTGGAAAAGAAATAGTCCGGGCGCTCTACGAAGAGGCGGGCGCCTCATAAGCTTATCATATTTTAGTAGAGTCTTATAGAGTAAACATATACAGCTGTCTTCCTCTCTTCCTTATATCTGTTACTAACGAAATCAATTTGGAATATCTCAATCAATAGAATCGGAGATCTCTCTTCAATATTTAATAATAGAATCCAAGCAAAATCATCCTCCAAAATAGATGTCTGCCTTACTAATCCCTCTATTGTTCCCCTTTAGAATCCCCCGTATAACCCCCTTTAAGCAATTTAGATTATGATACATAGAATATATTTCCTTGCGCCCTACAAATTACCAGCAAGCCCAATGTGAGATAATTGCGTATCTAGGTATAGGAGATGAGCTGCTGCATCACTGCATGCTTGAAATAACGCAAGAACATGGCTACTGTAAAATAGGGGTACCCGCACCTGGATGTTCTGTAAAATGGGGTGCGCCGAGATTTCCACAGGCTAGTACAAAATGGGAGTACCCGCACCTGGAAGTTCTGTAAAATGGGGTGTGCAAGATCCCCAAGGGCTACTGTAAAATGGGGGTACCCGCACCTGGAAGTTCTGTAAGATGGGGGGTGCCAAGATCCCCACAAGTACTGTAAAATGGGGGCCCTACCCTGCACCGAGAAGTTCAAGGGGGATGAATCGAAATCATCTAGGAAATGAAGTGTAGATGGAGAATTGCAAATGGAATTCTTAAAGATCGTAGTCAGCGGAAATGAATCGCGCCGATTATCATGACTTCGAAAATACTGATTTATTTGGAAATTGAGATCTTGTATGATGATGAATATTCAAAACCTCCTTTTCCCCAACCCAAATCTATTTTGATTCAATATGACATGATATAGGAGCGCAGCAATCCGTCTAGACAGTTGCCTCCACTGCGCAACATCTGCCCTTGCCTCAGCGTTTCATGCAGGCACAGCAAGGTTATGCATGTTAGCAAAGGCACGTTGAATTCCATCATGCTACGCGAGAAACACAACCAATGTTGGGGCTTGGACAGTTCAACACGTCTTCCTTGACATTGGTCCAATGCACAGCATCATCCTTTTCGATTAGTTTTTTGTACATTTCCTGCGAGAACGCTTGGGTACCTGGGCGCATTCAAGCAGATGATGCCATCTCGAAACGAGGCATGCTGGCCTGCACTATCTAAGGCTGGAGCCTGGCTTCTCGGCAGAGTCCTTGCTCAGGCATCCAGTCTTGTCTGCGGGCATTGCACCCTTCTTCTGATCTGGAAGGGCAAGCTGAAAGAATGTCTGGTTGGCATCCACATTTTGGCAATCAGAGATGGACTGCGTCAGCGAGTCACCATCCCCGTACTTCGAATATGAATCAAGTACACATTTGATTCTTCCAAGGCCACGATATTCTGTAAGCTGTTTCTGCGACTGCAATAGTGCCGTTTCCTTTGCTTGTCCGGCATCGAAGAAAGCTTTGTAATTGGACTGATAACACATCACATATGCCACGCAATCCGTCCGATGGGCGATCCGATCGCATGCAGCATCCTCCAACTTGGTCTGGAGTTTCTGGCAGTCCAGCCTCTTGCTTTCGTAGGCTTTGTCCCTGCCACCTTTACCATCACGTTTCTGATCCTCTCCGTAACATTCGCGGGATTTCTGCAGCTTCATCTTTGCCGCAGTGCTCGAAGCATTAAAGGCGCCTTCCCATGAGTTCAGATGTGAGGCAAAATGGTCTCGAAAATGCTTAATGTAGCCTCTCACAGTTGCATAGTCCTGGGAGCTGGACCGGTGAGAGCAGAACCCTGCGACAGGAAACTTGTTGAGAGCATCGAACTCGTTCTTTCGCTGCTCTTCACTGGATGTTCTTGCTGTCAATTCGCTCTCACAAGCTTCCAGCTCAATTTTCAAACCCGACTCTTCAAGGCGGCAGGCTGCATGCTCCTTTGCCAGGCTATCTACGGATTGCAGGCCTGAATGGGAGCCTGCCTCATAAAGCCCTTGACAGCCAGTGAAATCTGACCACGCCTGATCAAGTGTCTGCTGAGTCAACTTTGCCTGCTGCTGGACCATGGACTCCATGTGAGTCACCATCTTGTGGATCTCTGTGACGGTGTTCGTGAGTCCTGGGGTGCCCCGTTGCTTCTCGAGAGCGAGCAATGCTGTCTCAATGTTCTCCAGGCTGACGGGCAGCTTGTCTCCAGCACTCAGTGCGCGCAAAACAGAAGCCCGGCTTGACAGTGACGTGGCTTTTGCAGCTTCAGCTGCAAGCACAAATGCTGCAAGAACTGCAGCACATCTTCCGAGGGAAAGATAAGTCTGCATTAGGAGAGATCCAAGTGGACTTCGTCCATCAAGAACATACGCGGCTGTCCTGAAAGCCAGAACAGCTACAGAGGTTGCCCGAAAAGCCATGAAGCAGAAGCTCATGGATACGACATAGCAGCTCAGTTTACAAACTACGGATTACTTTTTGGCAAATTCCGTCGTCGCATCATCGCTAGCCTACTCCAGATAAGGAGACGGCTTACGATCCGCGGATGGAAATTTGCACAGCACCCCACAGCAGGCACTGAGCAATGCTTCCCACTACTAGTGTAGAGGCAAATCGCTCAGGGCTCATCCGCCCGCTCACTGCAGCAGTCATGAAAGAGTTCAATCACAAGCTTGAAGGCAAAGAAATGCGAGGTCAGCCATGCTTTGCAGAGTTGACTGTACCAGCTTGGATTACCCGAACTCCACCAACAATCGCAAGGCCATGGCGTCTTCTATGCTTCTCCTGTCCTGGTACTGAGGCTTTGGCCAATGCCGGCGGCATGTACCGGCCACCAATCTCACGGCCTTGGCCCACTTGGCCCAAAGACGCATTTTCGCCTCCTAGTGCAAGTCGCCTCTGTTCACCGTGTTAACATCTGTGACAGCGACCATCCAGGGAGTAGTAGTGCTGCGCAGAACTGCAAACCAATGGCGATAGTCTTTCCAGCAGATGTGCTCACTGTCATGCTTTTCTAAAAAAAGCCTTCTCCAGGACGGCAGTTCCAAGCTGAACGGTCGTGGGGCTCTATTGCTTCTGCCTTCACGAATTTACCTACTTGCTCATCACCCTTGTACGGAAAAGTGCGCGACAAGGTCTAAGGCTAACGCAAAATTGCCAAGCCTGCGAAAAGTGGATTACTTTCTACAGCAAGTCAGCAAATGAGCCGCTGGAACTTCTAAGCCGCGTGCCCCTAGAAAGGCCACCAGGAGAAGTACAGTCACTGGCCAGTTGCTTAAGAACCTCTGCAAATTCTGAGCCAATGAAGCCAAGAAGGTACGTAACATGTAACGCACGCTGGCCTTGCGGATGCTTCTTCCGCTTCCGCAAAGGTTCTGCACAGAGCGTCAATGTGACAGACTATGAGGGTCACCGAGGCCGGCCTGTCGGCGTATCTGATCTCTCCAGTCCAAGGCTGGTAGGCAGTAACATGGCCAGTTGCCAAACTCCTTGAGAGACAAGATTGTACCTCCTAAGAAAGCAAGCCATGTGTGGATGTAGAACGGTGCCCTGTCCTAGCAACGATATTCACAGTGTAGAGCCCAGGGTGCAGGTCCTGCAAGGTGCAGGCCCCGAACAGCTCGAACACCTTGCAAAATCCTTGCAAGATGGTGGCCTGGAGGACAGCCGAGCTGCCACCGCTAATGGCCGTCATCTTCATTGAGCGCAAGGAGTGCCTGAAGCAGTTGAGAGCTTTGATCTGGTGAAATGTTCTTTTTGGCAATCCGCCACTAATCTCTGCATAGTAGCTCCAGGTACATCCCACATGGCGTGGAAATGTTCGCGGCAATCTTGTCCGTCCTACCGTAGAAGACCTTCCGGATGGCAAGACAATTGGGATAAAGCTTACAAAACATGCAGCTGGCTTGTGGATGGCAGGCCTCGTACCTAGCATGCGGATCTTGATCGTGGCCTCGCAACCGATGCTGGTCATTACCAGTTGGTTCAGATGACTCCCGCACCACGTTTGTCGGATGGTGCTTGTCTAGCCTAACCGTCCAAGTGCAATCCTGCATAGTTTCAAAGATGCATACCTATGGCAGGCAGCAGCACAGACTTCTGCAAGGACAGTGAAAATAGCGTCATATCTTTGCAGGCACTCAGTCTGAATCCTACGCACAAATCCAATTAAAGGCTGGAATCATGGAGAACGTAATGGGCAGACCCTTCAGTACCTTCAGTGCCTAAGACACAAAAAGCTACGTAACCCCAAACCCTGCAAGACCCAACCTGAGCCTAAATCTCATAGCCAAGGCCTCGGCCCCCAAACCTCAGATCCTTAACTGGAAAGCCTCAGGCCCTCATCCAGGCCCTGAAATCCCAACACACAGGTACCCCAAAACGTACCAATCAACATCCCTAAACTCAACCATACTTACTCGAGACCCTGCGTCCTAACCTTCTCCACAACCCTAGTCCTCTCTCCAGCCTCACAACCGTCTGCTCAAGTCCAAAAAACACGAGCCAAGAACGCTCAGCCGAATCGTTTGAATGAATGATATCGCTGCATTCCTGGCCCTGATGGTACAGTTCCTTGGATTTCATGCTAGTCTGCCATGTGGAATCCTGCAGGAGTCACCTGGTGTCACCTGGCCTTGGCCAAACAGCTGTGCCGATTGCCAATCCTCGCTCCATGCACTGCAGCTAGCAAAACGCAAGCAGAGCAACTACGGCAGTGCTGCAGGAGCATCTGATCAGATTCTGAGGATCCCGCGACCTGCACTGCTTGAGCTTGCTGGGTTACCAAGACGGACCTGTGGAGAGCAGCAAGGGTTGAGACCGCGCGGGGGTAGACAAGCACCGAGGAGGTGAATGGTTTCCTTCAACATCCAATCGAACAGAACAAGCAAGAAAGAGAGAGTCGCAAGCCACAAGTCAGCACGGCAGAGGTACACACAGGTCAACCCAGGCTGGCCGCCACTCGTCGATGCTTACACAAAAGACTGCTAGGACATTCAACACAGTATTTGCCAGTATGCCAGGCAGAAGGAAGCTGTATGCAAACAAAATCAAATTGCAACCAGGCCTTTGCAGATTTCCAGCATCTAGCCAGGTCGCATCCTTCGCGTCCTGCTTCGAAAGCAGAGGACTGAGTCTGATTCACCTCTGGGACACAGCATGACTAGCGAAGTGCAAAAGCAACAGAAGCTGGGTTTTTAAGATAAGCCTTGAGTACTGAAACTGAGGGCTGCCTTGTGATGTACCAGTACACAGGCTAGCACTGCTACTAGTGCTACTTGATGCCCGCCTGCCCACCCACAGTTTTAAGCGACCTGGCACCCAACGACCTACACAACCACGTGAAGCTCTGATCAGTGCAGACATGTGCACCCTCTACAGTCAAATCGATGCAAAACTGAAGCACTGTGGACAGATTGAACTTGGCTGTACCGCATCCTGCACGGAAATGACGTAGCGCGCATAGCGGCCATCCACCGATGATATCTGCTGCACGAGGGTATCATCAATCAGGCGCATGCAAAGCAACAGATCAAGGTGGGCCTGTATCCACTCGTTCATCTTCTGCCGCATTCTAAGGCGCGCCACTCCGCCCCGAAGAACATGACCGGCATTCTGACCTAGCGGATGAGCTGTCCGCCTAAACTGAAGCCATTTGTTGACCTTGCCAAACAAGGCCGGCACCGCCAGCCTGACGCGTAGAGGTCAACATGAGACTTTAAGATACTTCAGGTAGCTGTGACTCGCCTTGTGACCAACAGGACTGAGACCAGTCTGAAGTTGCACGTCGCCTGTACACACCTTAACACACAGACGATTCTGCCTACTGCAACACACCAAGTGCCTATGTCCACGCTGCAACTCAGTGCAAGTCTTCGAGGTCCAAGACAATGTCCTTCAACAAACTCACTGTTAATACAGAAAAAGAGGGTGTTTAATGAGTCGGACTTGGAGGGGCTGCTTACTCCTTGGAGTACAACTGTCTGGGGCTACCTGCTTTGGAATTGAGGAGGACTTCACTCAAGAGTCCTCGACGTCCTCGTCAGGTACAATGGCATAGCTGAAACTGTGAGAACCTCAGGCTTGCGTCTTGGCTAGATCATGTGCGAAGCTGTTCCAATGAGGCAAATATCCCTGAGTACCTTTCCATCAAGTGCCCCTTCCAGCTGATCACCAAGCATCAAAGGAGTGCCTTGTCATGTGGCTATAAAGCGCGACAAGGAACATCTTGCAAATGAAAATGGTAGCTGAAAAATGTGCCTGGATGCCATCCATACCCACGAATAGTCAGCCTTAGCTTGCTTTTCGAGGCGTTCTCCATGGTCTGGTTGCTCTGTAAGATGGATCGAACTCAGACGCGTGCGGTGCGGCCTTCACGCGGTAGGAGATGACTGCCACAGAAACCCCGTGACAGCTTTCGCCTATGACCATCCCAGCAGCTGGTTGACCAAGCACGGTCTACAGTACAAGGCCACCAACACCAGCACAAACAAAAAGCTCTGCCTTCCGACCCGTGTTCCTGGAAAGATTCTTGGAAAGTGTGGCAGTGAGCGCCTTTGAAGCTGAAGCATGGCAGCCCCACCAGCATTGCCATGAGCTGCCAGCGGGAGTTGATGACCCCACGTTGGCTGGCATGACAATCGACTCATAATTCCGATCCGAGCGTTGCTTCGGCTCTTGCCTGAAAGTCTGCTGGGAAGGCATCACAGCTGCCTCGAGCGTCCAAGCGGCTCATGTTTACCATGGATTCGATGGAAGGGTGAGCCTTGCCCTGCGAACCACCAGCCACTGCTAGCGGCCGGGAACCGTCACGGTCACACCCCAGCAAGTACATCTTGACCTTTGCTGCGGAGTCAGCATCAAAACTCACATCAACCCTGAGAGGACAGCATGCATTGCACTCTGTAACTGACATGATGCAGCTCAAAATAAACTCTGCATGTGCCAATGCCTCATGCAGGACAAGCATCCAGAATCAGGCAGACATCTGCTTTACAGTTTGAGCCCGCCACAAGATTCATGTCTGGATCGGCGACATCGTAGGGAACTGCAGCAACAAGTGGTTCATTTGAGCGGTGTTAATGGCACCCAAGGCAAAACTGGCACACGGCAATCACGGCATGAATCGGTACAATAGCAACATCAGTTTTCATGCAAAGCGGAATCCGTAGCCAAGTAGAGACGCCTTTGAAATGCGCGGTGCAGCTGACAAGCTGGCTGCTTTACATTGCTGAACATGGGCGACACTCACTAAGATAGACCCTGAAGCAACGGCTCCCACCATCAAGGTGCAAAAACGCATGTCTTAAGTCTAAGCCTGGAACCTTCGCTT